TCCCAAACCATCTCCCAAATCCTACAACTTCAGCGGCCGAGGAAGCCCGCAGGGCATATACCAGCATCCTCCTGGTAGCGAGGCAATCGCACTCGCCTAGCAGACGTGGGCACCATGACAGCACAAGAGATAAGCAAACCAGAGCTTAAACAACTCAGCCAACATCTCACTCGGAGGCACAGCAGCTGGTCCCACCCTACAAGCATCCCTACTCACTGGCAGCAGTTACAAAAGAGCCCAAGATGGGGATGGAGATGGCTTTGAAGGCACATGCAAAGGCATGAGTCCGAGGATCGGAGTCACTAAAGCCTGGCTTATTTAGCCCTATCCTTCCACACAGTAAAATGGGCTCTTCCTAAGACACAGAGAAAGCTTAACTGTAAGAAACTTCCATCCTTGCTCCAAAACTGGCCTGAGGTCCCTAGAGGTACCTGCAGATAGATGGGGTGCGATTACCACAAGCCCCTGCTTCCAACCACCCCATTAAGAACCTGGGCCACCCTGGTGCCCTGGAGGCCACTGTGCCCGGCCCCATGCTAGAGCCCCACTCCTGGGGTGTCTACGCCTGCAGCTCACTCAGGCAGGCAGCTGCCTGGGGAAGCTGGTTCTTGGGGGGCTTTGCTTACCTTTATGGCTCCTGGTGGAGCCAAGGAGAAGTGATACGAAAGTACCACTTGGGCTGGAAAGGTCTGCAACAGTGGACTAGACTGTAGTCCAGAAGGGAAACCTGGTCTGCTCCTCCTTATCCAACCATGCTGCAAGTGAGGAGGATGAGGCCAGCGTTTAGGCAGGACTGCTCCATAAAACTCAGCCTTTCCTTCAGCTGCCCCTCCCCCTTGCCTCTCAGGCCTCTCTCTGGCAATGAGTCATTGCTGCCGGCTCCTGCAAACTCGACCCAGATACTTGCCAAAGCCTTCAGCAAGCACCATGCGCTCATCTGTTTTGGAGTCACCACCTCTGCTGGCTTAGGAAAATGCTTCTCTGGAAGCCCTCACAAACCAAAAGGCATGAGATGTATTCCAGCACTTAATCAGCATCTTTAAGGACTTGTAAGCAATTTTGTCAGTTGACTCAGCTGTGATGTCTCCAGAGCCCCAACCCCTCTGGTACAGGGTGTGGGGTGCTTGAAAGATGTGGGAGAGTAAAGCTTATACATCAGTCCTGAGACATCTGGACCTGACCAGACCAAATCAGACTAGACCTCCTCAGCTATTCCGTCATTTAAGTACAGGTTCAAAGGTGGCACTCCTGCATCACAGGAGATGCAGCCTCAACAGATAATCAGTACAATGCTGCCTGAAGCCTTGTCAGAGGTGGTGTTCATGCTTGCCCGAGATCCACTGCACAGCATCAGGTTTAGTCCAGCCTTGCCATGACCAGCTGAAGAGATCACAGCAGCCAAACATGAGCTGATGTGCCCAAATATAGCAAAAAGCTTACCTCTGTGGACTTTTGCAGCTTCCAGCTATGCAACTGGAGCAGCTCTTCAGAGTAACTGCACATTCTGCTCACCTAAGCTTGTGCCACAGAAGCAGAACTGAGATGGGCAATAAACTCCTTGTCATAAGGAAAATGACTGCAGTATCTGAAAACCACATCTTCCAGTCCAGGTACTTCTAAAACAAATGCGCCTTAAAGAACTGTGTGGAAAATGAACAAAATCAACTCCAAACCCAGCAATTCCTTCTCCAGACCTACCTTCGCTCTAAGGAAACTGTAACCCTGATGTTACTTTCAGACTCAAGAAGTTCAGCTAGCAAGCAGAGAACACATCATGAACTCATATACTGACCACCTGTCTGTCATGACCAGCAAGCTGCTATCCTGTACCCAAATCACCAGCACCAAGTCAGCAAGTGAAAACTCCAAGTCCAAAGTAACAGCTCCACCTGAGACAAGTGATACGATCTGGTTTTTGCCTACCCCAAAGATCAGATCGGATCAGAGCTGACATATCTTACTGCACATTGAAGATCTGTCATGATTCTCCTGAAGCCAACCTCCTGCAACAAAGATGCAGTACTACATTAATACACGATTAATGCACAATTTCAGTGGAAGAGCTGTGGCGTCAAGCTTTTAGCTCCTTTTGCTCCCAACCTACCTCCAACTTTCAGTATGGACTTGAACATGGACCTTAGTCGGAGTTCCTCATGATCTTCTAATTACAGCAAAAACACGGTGCTTCCAGCTCCTGAGGTGGCCATGTTACTGACCAGCACTGTTTGCCAAAGGGTCATGGCTGCCTCAATTCTGCTGGGTGCAGTCCACAAAAGTAATGAGATTGGTCTGCACCCTGCCAGACTCAGACCACCACTTATCAGCCAGGTCCTCCTAAGATGCTTGCAGTCTCCAGTTCCAGCTCCTACCTGCCTACTGGATTCCTGAAGCGCTGTCCTGTCATAGCACTGTCCTACCACCTACACCGAGATGAAGGTGTACCCTGGCTCCTGAAAAACTTTTGGGTCCATTTGCAGAATCCTAGTGACTCCTAGCACATCTATGTCTGCTTTAGCCATACATAAAATAGGACTATAGCCAGCCACTCCAGAAAAGAGACTGTCAGAACTGGAACCACCTGAAGTGTACAACAGATCAAAGCTGTGAAGTTTCAACTAGACTCTGCCACCGGGAAGAAAAGCCTGTCTGGTGCCTGATGGTGTGCTGCTAAACACAGATGCCGACTGCTGAACCACTGATGAAACAGGTCACCTTCAGCATCCCTCGGTGCAACAGCCATGAGTGGCCCAAGGAACTAGAAGACACTCGAACAAGCTACAATAACACGTGACTTGACCAGACCCAGAGCTTTCCTGCGCAAGCTGGAAAACCTCACCCTCGGGGGTGCAGAAACCTCTCTGAAAGGGAGATGATCATACTTTGGCTTCCTGCTCCTGACCAAACTGCTGAAGGACTTTGTATTCTGGCCAGTGCTGCTCTCACACACCCTCACCAAGACCTGCCAGCCTCTTGCAGCTGCAGCTGGTGCCTGCCCTGTGAAGATACCTCACCCCTGGTACTCCCCAGAGCTCCTCAGCTTGCTTGACCATGGCTCCTGGTCCTTGACTGTGGCTTCTGGCTCCCAACCAGAAATGAGATGATACTCTCAGTGGTTAGAGCCATCCAGAGTCCAGTCCTTGAGAGAGCCCCAAACACAGCATTACTTCTCATCTGAAGGCTTCCAGATAGAGCTATCCCATCCCCAAGGGCCTGGTGAAGGATGTGATAAGCTCTATTGCAGAAAAAGAGCACCAGGTCCCTAGTGCAGTAACACCATGTCAACCCACCCACTAACTGTTAAGGCTTTTAGTCATCTTCTAGAAGGACAAAGTAGCCCTGCCCTCTGCCCTGCCTGCAGTTGTGCAGAAGCTGCCAACTTCAGAACAAAACACATACTTCCAGGCTTCACACTTGAAACAACTTAGGCTGGGAAGTTTTCTGGGAGCCTTTGGTCCAGCCCCACCATGTAACACCAGACTCAGCATCTTCAGCACTCCTCCAGCATGGGGACAGGCACTGCTGCAAACAGCATGCCCAGCTAAAGGCAGGGCAGCTCTTCCCTTGGGTAACTTCTCCCACTCAAGCTGTGATCAGCCCTTCTCCTGCAGGAATGGGGTGCCAGGCAGCTGCAGCCGGGGTGGTGGCTGTGCCCCACAGCAGTTCGGAGCAGGCAGGTACAAAAAACAAGCCGTTAGCACAAGTCCTCTCTTGCCCAGGCCAAAAGCAAAGGCAGCAACTCCAACCAGCACTGGCGTTTAATTCTGCTGCTTTAATTCTGCTGCTGCCTGGCATGACGGAGGATGAGGGGAGGACGGGAGGCTGCCCGCATGGACACTGAGAGCCCCTGGGTGGGCTGTGGCTTTGTGCTGGGGGTGACCGGGCTTTCTGTTCTGGTTTTGCCGTGTGAGGCATATGACTCATGTGCTGCCCTCACCGCTCCCAACCCCTGCCGGCCTCAGCTGCCGAAGCCGACACCTCTTCAGGCCTGGGCTAGCCCGTGCAGAACAGCTTCCTGCCACACTTGGCTGGATCACCTTCCCCCTTTGATGCTCTTAATTCTGGATGCCAGCTAAATTAGCCTGTGCAATAGCTTGGGAGAGGGAAAGGCAGCGAACACTGAGCTGCCCGCTGCACTGAGTGCAATGCCTCATCTTGGCTCTACAAGTGAAAGGCCATGTGAGAGAAGCCAGTCAGACACCAGGCAAAAATCCCACAGGAGCGGGGCTGAGCAAAGACGGGCTTCCCAACAGATTAGCCCTTATCCAAAACACTCTAACCCACTCTAAACCCAAGGACTGGAAGTCTGAATGCTTTAGTCTTAGTTGCTGAGCAGCCAGACAGCTGTCTGCAGTGCAAGAGAGCCCTTCTGCTACATGCTCACCAGTAATTAAGCCGTGCACAGGGCAGACAAGGATTTGCATACCATTTTACACTGCTGACAGACTGGAGCAGCCCAAGGTATGCATTAGCTAGGTGCTGGAGGGGAGCAGAAAGGCCTAATGCTACCTCTGGAACACATAAACCTTTGGGAGGTGCTGTGCCAGGAAGAGCTGCCTGGAAAAAAATTGAGGAAGAAACAAACTGGCACCAGCTGAGGTGAACCCAGCTCTCAGATCTCCTCCCCAGTGCTTCTTCCCTTCCAGGCATCACATCTGAGGCCATAAAAAATCCCACAAGGACTAGGTTGAAAGCAAAGCACCCAGGGGAGCACTGAGGACAGGCTTAGACTGGTTGCGCTCTTCTACCCCACCAAAACTTGGGGCCAGCAAAGAGTTTCAGGTGGGCTGGGGGGGACAGGGACATGATGACGGCTTGCTGGAGACAAAGACAGCTCTTTCCCTGAAGGATATCTCACCCCGATTGCCTTCATGGTCTACAGCATGACCTCGGTCCATGGAGAGCAAATCTCAGTGCCCTTCCCTCCCTGCTGTCCCACCAGCGATCCTCCCGGAGCACCAGCAGCAGCACTTTCTGGAAGGAGGACACAGCCATCAAGACGGTTTGTCGAGACCATCAAATAATAATTTAGTGTGATTCAATCTGTGGCTTTGTACAGTTGCCAGGGTGGGAGGAGGCCAAAGCAGGAGGGGATGGGGAAAGAAAAAAAAAGAAAAAAAGTCGTTTGCTTCAGGCTTGGGTGAAGTGCGAGATAGTCCTTGGAGGGGCTCATGCTCCCCCTGTCCTCTTCCTCCTCTTCCTCTCCCCCTCCCCCCATATTCCTCCCCTGAATCCGTTTGCTTCTTCCTTCGCTTCACCTCTTTCCTTGCACTCTGCACAGTGGGAACCTCTCCAAGACACGGTCCAGTCAGCTGAAACCAGAAGAGGACACTCATTAGCACCCATGCACTGTCAGAACCAGTGGGGACTGTTTCCATTACCCACCCCTCACATTTCAGGATGACCCTGCTAGTGCCCACAGAAGGAAAGCAAAGGGCTACACAGGTCTTGGAGGACTGGACCTGGCTCAGCAAAGCATCTGCATGTGTGCTAAAGGGAACAAGCAAATGGTCTGTAGAGTGATGGGTGAGCCTGGGGCATCACACCAGACCTTCTGCCTCTGTCCAAACCCTGTTTGGGGAAGGGGCACTGTTTGGTGAGATCTTTCTCCCTCCTCCAGGGATGACAGGAACCACAAAGTGAGTCCAGGGCAAATGCAGCCAAATGTCCCTGCCTCCCTGACCACACACCCACCCTTATCCCCCAAACCCAGCGTGTCCTTGCCTTGCTTCTCCTTTTGTGCCCTGATATTCCTCCCTCTCTGCTCTTGGCCACTGCAGCTAGAATAAGCTGCCTGAGCAGAAAAAGATGTGGGCAACTCACAGGACATGCTCTCTTAACAGAGGGGAGTCTTTCCAAGAGACTCCTTCCCACCCCTTCTTGCCCCTCTTTTTGAAGGCACTGCCCGTGCCAGTGCTGGCCACCAGGCTGTGATGGGGACCGGGCTCCTGGCAGTTGGTGTTGGGGAGCAGCAGCATCTGCCGAACCCATGCCATCAGCTGTGAGCCAGAGCAGGAAATGAGCCCTGAGCTCACATCCCCATCCAGAGGAAATGTTCCTGAACATCTGGAGGACCTGAACATCTGGAAAACCTCCCTTAGCAGTGATAAGTGTGCTGGGCACAGCATTCGGCTTGGCCCCCAGGAGACCTTGCATGCATCGGCTGGGAGCAGAGGGGTGGGGTGCTCTGGTGGTTTTTTGCTCATAGGAAGCAAATGCTGCCAGCGTTTCGTTTTGTTGTTTTTTTTTTCTTTTCCCCCCGGGGAAGAGCTCTTCTGCACTCATGGCCTTTGGCTCAAAAAGTGACAGAGGAAAACCAGCTGCCCACCTCCACCTTCAGCGAGACCCTCTTAGCACCATGCGCTTCTCTTTAGGACTCCAGCAGTTGTGTAAAGGGGTGAAGGGCCAGTCCAGGTGCTTGGGAGACTCCCCAAAAAACATTAAGGGCAATGTTCGTGCAGGCTTTTCTCCTGCACCCCAGTCCCCGGTGCACTCATCCCCAGTTGCCCCTCTCTCCATTTCAGCCACGGAAGGAGTTGGTTACACAGCCAGATGTTCCCAGGCGTTTGGCTTAAGGCCACCCAGCTCACACACGGACACCAATAGGAGTTCTCCCTCCCTGCTATCCAGCAGGATTGCAATGATTTAAATAAACTCATCATTTAAAAAAAACAACAAAGAAAGAGAAAGAAGAAAACCAGGCAAGTGAACATGGATGGAAAAAGAAAGAAGAAAAACAGGCAAGTGAACACGGACAATGTGAAAAACACTGTTTCTGGCTCCAGCACGCACAGTTTATAAAAGCAAAACAGCCCCCTTATGGCTAATTCTCAACATTGCATCAGTTCCAAATATCCCAGGGGATATATCTGATGGGGAAAACTCTTCTGAAGAACACAGGACTTCCACAGTGAGACAGGTGGGCTCTGAAGGTTTAGGATGAGGCAATTTACACGAGTAGGAGGCAATGCGCTCACCCAGTTCTTCATCTGAACTCTTCTAGGGCCAGTTTGGTGAACACACAGTGAGCCGCACACCTTCAACACCAGCTCGACTCCTCTTTCAGAAGGGCAGCATGGGAAGGAGCTTTCTCAGGGAAAGCATGACAAAACACATATTTTTTTAAATTCAATTCTGTAGAATTTTGTTCCACAAAATGAGGGGGGGAAACAAATAACCCTTTCCTCCTACACACTTCCTCAGGAAATTGGTATTTTGACTTACCTATGTTTTCAAAGAAAAATGTTATTTCAGTCAAAAAAGTGTTTCATTAAAAAATACCCGTTGCTGAAATTGTTTCTGCTGAATTTGTTTGCAGACAAGTGCATCTGCAGTCACCTCCTGCCCTGCTTCCCCACTGCACCCCATCTCCTGCTTCCAAAACTCACCATAATCACGATATCACACATTTACAGTTCATGCAGCCAGGGCCGCTCTCATCTGGGGGATTCAGCTTGCGCAGCTTGTGCTGACGGATCTCCCGCACCAAGGTGTAGAATGCATCTTCAACACCCTGGAAGAAAAGCATTGCTTGAAGCAGCTGCCCACTTCGAAAGGGGACAGTCGAGAGAAGAGAGGGCTCTGCTCCCCAGCTAGCTTTGTTTCCCAGCAGTGCAGATTGCAGAGTTAAAGGCACGAAACCAAGCTGGGAAGACTAACATGGATCTTAGTGCGGCCTCCGAACAGAGACCAAGATTGAATGAGCAACCACAAGGCCAAGGAGTTCTTAGGTCCTTGAGATTCATCAGCTTTCAGCAGCCTGAATGAGGTCTACCACCCGAGAGAAAAGCCACCACTAGACCACTGAAGGTATCAGCTGCTCCATTTCCACCTTTGTGCTCTGGGAGCCCCACGTGGTCCTTCCAGCACCAGTACATTCTGTCTGTAGGTCTACCAAAATAGACCATGGATGGGATTAGCCAAGTCCCCTGAGCCTACCTGACCTGCAGTGACTATGGGGGTTATTCCAGAGCCTTGGAGAAAGCCCTGAGAAGGCATCTGCCCTTCACTGATGCCAGAGCATGAATTACGTACTTCTCCAGATTGGACACTCAAGCCTGGACAGGGGAGGGAATGTCCTGATGGAGCATTTAGCCTTGGGGAAGCAACTAACCCCAGCCCTTGCACTCATCTATCTGCAAGGTGGTGTCTGCCCGTTCCTGCCTCTCCAGGACAGCACTGGAGAAAAGAGAAGAAAAAGAAGATTTTGTTTAAAACCCTCCTCCTACCTGTCTGGTTTTGGCAGACGTTTCTATGTAGGGGATCCCGTAACTCCGGGCCAGGTCCTGCGCTTGCCGGGTCTCCACTGTCCGGGCTGGCAGGTCACACTTATTTCCCACCAGCACCATAGGAACATCATCTGAGTCTTTCACCCTCTTGATCTGCTCCCTGCAAAAGTAAGAGGTGCCAATGTGAAGGGAGAAAAGGCATCAGGGGCAGCTCCAGGGCACTCCCCACCAGCTTCTTCGTCAAGAATTAACAGCTGCACTTCATTCCTGCCAAGTGCCTTGTGTTGGGCTTTCAGGAGAATGTCAATGACCATGGCACATAAATGAGTAAACAGCAAAATAGCTAGGGCACTTTTGGAAACGAAAACTAAACATACTTCTGCTCTTTAAATGCAACTGTTTACAAACTACAACTTGAAATTATGAAAATCTATATTAAGACATGAGCTTAAGATAGTTTAAGCTAAATAAAAATGAATACTCAAAGCAGTTACCTGTGTTATTTCCAACATCTTAGATCAAGTAATACCCCTGAATGAGGACAAAGAAAAAATCACCTTCAACCAGAATTTGCTGAGCTGATGAACCAGCTTTTGGCAGCTGTAACCTTTTCTGCAGATGCACAGGCAGTATTTACTTCCTTTCAGTTTAGTTCAGGTCACTCAAAGTTGAGAAACCAACTGGGAAGCAAAAAAGCTGTAATGCTCACTTCTTCATTCCAACCTCAGATTTAAAACTAGGTGGGCGAGGATGAGATCTACCACTTCTAAAAATCTTAAAGGCCATTATGACCACAAACAATCCATTCAATTCCCTCCTGATAGATAATAACTTCCTTTCCTTAATAAATCATTTAACTTCAGATGCAAAACAGCTTTTTTTTCTCTTGCTCATGCATCCAGAACATTTAACATGGTTTTATTTAACTAGTAAAAGCATTATTTAAAATGCTGATTTCTGCACTTTAATTGAATTCAAACTTACATCCAAAAGAAGCTGGACATGTATCACACACACAAAAAAATCAATCATCTTTTTTTAATGTAGTAGAACATAGAAATGAAGTCTGACTATATGTATGATATATCATAAAGCCCCCTAAATGTTCCAAGTAACATCCTGATCAGCAAACCTAAGTACTAAATTTAGTGAACAGGCTACACTTAGCTGGAAGGAGATACCTCCTAATGGTTACTAACCAGGGAGAGCCAGCATTTCTCTGGGGAATATTCTTTTAAAAGTGCAAACACAAAGAGCACAGGCAAAACGAGATGAAAGCCGGTGATTTACATCATGATTAAAACCGGGGCTTGAAAATGAGCCATCCTGTGAGTGATTCACAGGCACCAGCCCTGGCACAAGGATGAATGCTGCCGAATCCCTCAGGTGCTTTAGGAAAATCCCATCCTTTGTCTCCGGTTCAGCTAAAACAAGCCAAATTAGTCCAACCATATAGTTATTACATTGAACACGCCTGCTAGCCAAAGACTCAGACATCTCGACAGCTCGGACCAGTGCCTCTGACTATGGAGCAAGGAAGGCCTGTGGCTGTGCTCGGAGCTACAGGATTATCTGGAACCCAGATTTATGATGAGGGACTGGGGAACATGGTCCCTTGGTGGGCAGTGGACAGAGCGGGGACAGGCAGAGCCATCTCTTGCATCCTCTGCAAGTGCCTCCCATCACGGCTAAGCCTCAAAGAAAGGCATAAAGCAGAGATCCCTCCCTACGCTAGCATCGGGGTAACCAGGGAAGACTCCCGCTGCATTTATATCATCTCCTTGGCTCTCCAGCTCTGCACAGGTGATGGCAGCAGGGAGGGAGAAGCGGGATGGGTAACCTGGGTACAGCCAAAGCAAGACCACGTTGGGTTGGGGTCCCTGCTCTGCCACTGCCCCCGCAGTACATCCTCTTGGGCAAGTCACCTCGCCGGGGCTCTGACTCTCCTCCTGCTCCATCTTTCCCCTGGTTGAAACCGAGCTCCAACGGGCAAGGACTGCCTCTCCCCATGTGCGTGCGGCCGACAGACCGCAGCCTTGCCACAATGGCTGCCAGCGGGGGAAGCAGCCCTCCCTGCCCTTCCCAGCCTCCTCTCCCAGCTCCCAGGCCCAGCAGAAGTCGCTGAGATCGATTCCACTAACAAAGCAATTCCATTAATTAGGGAGGGAAGGGAGGGGGTCACAGAGGATCAGCTCTCTCTTTAGTCACCATAAACACTTAAACATTACATTACCGAGTCCCCAAAGGCCACAAGCAATCCCTTTGGATGGGTTTTATTGGAGTCACTGACATTAGCTGTCTGCTCCGTCTCTTCCCTGGGGAATGGCCACTTGAGCTAATTGTCTTTGCTGGTAGCCAGTGCTTCCACCGTGGGGCCTGAGCTTAAAGGCAGGGCAGGAGGGTGCAGCGGCAAGGCCTCCCCTTTGCACAGGGCAAGAGGGAAGGGGCCCTTCCAGGATACCGACCTGTACTGGTGAATATCTTCAAAGGACTTGGTGTTGTTGATGGCGAAGACACAGAGGAATCCTTCCCCTGTTCTCATGTACTGGTCTCTCATGGCACTGTATTCCTCTTGCCCTGCGGTATCCAAGATGTCTAACAAGCAGGTCTCTCCATCAATGACAACTTGCTTTCTGTAGGAATCCTGCAGGCCAGGAGAGGGAAAGAAAGGGAGGAGGATGCGTTAAGGGAGGGCTTGGGTCCTGCCAAGCGAAGGGATGCAGCAAGTGCATCCCTGGGAAGATGCCAGGTCACGCTCTGCCTGGGTTTAGCTCCCATTAAATAGCTAACTCAATCTGTTTCAAAAATGGGAGGGAAAGGAAAAAGGAGAAAAAGAAGGAAAAAAAAAAATAAAAGGAAAAAGGGAGCAGCTGAGCAGGTTTCCTCTCAGAGAAGACAGCCCCTGGCTTGCTCTCCCCTGGCAGACCAGGGGCAGCTTTGTCTCTACCACACCACATAAGCCCTCGACAACTATTTTCCTAAGCTTTATTTAGTCCTGGCTAATCCCTTCTGCTGCCACCCTGCCCTAGTGCTGGAAGGGGACACCCAGGAAAGGCGGCTCCGGCCGGCCAGGGTTTCCAGCCACCATTTGCAATCTGCAGGGCTGGAAGGTGTTTAAGATCACCTGGAAATGCAGCACCTCCAATGCACCTCAGATCAGGCACCAGAAGCATAATGTCACCAGTAAGGCTGCAAACCTCTTCTTCAAACATGAGAAAAAAAAATAAAAAAATCATGCTGTGAGGAGGGTGTTTCCCACAACCAGTCTGTGCCCAGAGTGCTCCAGGAGAGGTAAGGACTATCCAGGCAGGTCCTTTGAAGTTGGGGGTTTTCCCTGCAGCAGAGGCAATCGCAACTTATCACAGATGTGAGAAGGCCTGGAAACCCAGGGCATCCCTCAAAAGGTTTCATTTTTCAAGGCAGGCTCCTCAAAGCACCGCTCCTCCCCACCATGCCTCTCCCCCCATGCCCGGTCTCATCAGCAGGGATGCTGCTGGGGCAGCCCCTGCATGAAGGAACAGCCTCATCCCTCTCCAATAGCCATCCCCTGGGTACAGCGCAGCATCATTGACTCTCAGCAAGAGAAGGAAGCCAAAACCAAAGGCATGAAAAAGGTGCAAGTCAGCAATATGACCACGACAGTGCTTTGCAGCCATTCGCAGAGGCTACGGCTGCAGTTTAGAATTAATTCAAACGTCTGCTGCTCTTCCAGCGACCACAACAATGTTATCAGATGAGCTTTGCAGGTCTGCAGACAAACAGCCAACGCAGCAAAGGTCACCGACAGGACCAGCAGCGGCACGGAAAGGGAATGGGGCCAACGTGGCCTCCACCCTTTGGTTCATTACTACAACAACATCATCTGCTGGGGCTAATTAAAGTCTTTCCTCACCTTGTGGAGAGGGCCATGAGATCAGAGATGAGATCTGCTCTGCCACGACCTTCTCCACTGTGCCTTCCCAAAAAGGGGACTGCTGACCCACCGGGAATAAGCATGAAGTGATGGGCTGGCTTCCAGCCAACCGCTCTGAAGGCAACTGGCAGACTGCCCTGCAGGGATGCGCTCCCGTTTCTAATCAATAATGTATCTGGAGCCTCCTTGGTGCAAGGCAGAAGAGCACTGGTTCCACCTCCAGGGTCCCAGTGCCTGGCAAGGACCAGCAAAGAGGACCCCAGTGCCTGCTCTGCACAGCAGAGCATTCTCCCACCCCTGGGCCCTGGCTTGCGTCCAGAGGACCAGCCTCTTGGCACACATGTTCACAATTAATTGCCAAGTCCCCAGTTACAGGAGGTCTCACGAGCAGACAGTACGCTTACGGAGAAGTGATCCCGCACCTCGGCTCAGGTCATCAACAGGCTGCCCGTAAGGCCAGCCAGCTCGCTAATGAAGCAAAGGTATTAAGAGTCTTGCAGAGGATGCTTTGCATACTGCTCCCCAAAGGAAGGGGACAAGCTCTCCCCACCCTTGCTTTGTGTCCAGCTTCATCTGAACCCCCCTGAGATGCTCGGAATGGCGGCTCAGCCATCCCTGCCATGCTGTCTGGTGACCTTGCTGCTGCTGCAGGGGTAGCTGCCACCAGCCCACATGTCCAGCCACCGGCACCCTGCAGCCTCAACGCTCCTCTGCAGCACCCCTGTGTCCTACCCCACCTTCCTGCACAAGGGAAAGTGGCCGGACCCAGCAGCAGAAACAACGTCCGCGTGGGGTTCAGACTTAGGATCCCAGATGGATGCTGGGAGCACCCTGGGTGTGCCGGGGGACCAGGCCAAGAGGTCCATTTGTTAAACGCTACGGTCAGGATGCGACCAGAGGCTTGGGAAGCCTGTTACTAGCTGACTGCTAAAAGCTGGAAGATGAACCGAAGAATTTCTCAACACAGTCTGACTCTTTACTCCATCCCCGCTCATTCGCCATGGGACACTGCCAGCGGCATGCATTTACTTGGTGCCTTGGCCCTCTTGTTCCCAAACTGAAGGTCTTAAGACTCCCTGGCAGCCCAAGAGCAGCCGTGCGAGCGCATGCTGTAGCGGGTCGGCCAGAGTTGCGTTACAAAGCCAGACGTTTGCACTAGTGAATTGGGAGGGCAGGAGGGGAGCAGGCACTCAGTCAGGGTCTCTGCCCCAGACAGGGGACAAACTCACTTTCCACCTCTCCTGTCCTGGGGAGCACCTTCTCAGTGCACTCCGACCCACTCGCACCCCCCTTTGCAGCACAGCCTGCACTCGATTCATTAAAGTGGTGGGTAACGCCTTTGCTCCATGCACGTATACTCTTTTTTTCCCCCCCTTTTATCCTGCTCCTTTCAGCATTGCTGTGCTGTTTGTTAGCCGGCTGAACAGTCAGAGTCAGCTCCTGGGCATGATCCAAAGCAGCTTAGTCACAGGAGGGTGGTTTGTTGGTCACATTCAGATGGCTGGCAGGTAACTCTCTGTGCGTCCTAATTCCCCATAAAATGAAGCATAATTAAAAGGAGTCACCCTGGAATGAGTGAGAAGATGGCCGGGGGCGGGATGTGGGGTACGACCGAGGGAGCTGCAAAGGCATCGGGGCTGGTGGGACCTGCAGGTAGAAAACCACCAGGGGTGAGAGGGGTGAAGAGCAGCTCGTGGCTGCTTTAGGAAGAAAAGAGGAGGAGAAGAGCATAGTGGGGCTGGGGGAACAGGGGACAAGAGCGGGCATCTCCCAGGGCATGTCAGGAGTGGGCAGGGCAAGGAGTGTATGCTGGGAAATGCCATGCAAGGTTTACATTCCCCACTGTCTGTTTACATGGAGAAAATTCCCTGCAGGGTATATACAAGGGGCAGGCAGCTGGAGACAAAAAAAAAATAGGATGCCATAACCCAGCACATCACTGGGTCAGAGCTGCCCCTGCCCACTGTAAGGTCCAAAAGAGGACCCATCCATGCAGATGCCTCCCCAGGGAGGTTGCTTTCCATCAGCAGCTCTTTTGCTGAAACCAACCTGAAATGGGTTTCTAACAAAAGCAAACAATGCTACTGGTGATAAGCACGCGAGGGGAGAGGAGCTGGGGAAGAAGGCAACTGCATCCATAAGCAAGGTGCAGCACCAAGACTCAGGAGCCCTTAAATTAAATTCCAGTCTCTGCCACGGACTTTCTAGGTGACCTTGGCCAAATGACGTAATAGCACGTGCTTGTAAGTGCTTTCTCTCCTTCCCATCTGTAGGATTGTAAGACTATTTCTGCCTTTCTACCAAGCCTTATCTTGCTTGTTTATTTAAGTTGTAGGCTCTTCAGGGTGGGGACTACACATACAACACCTACCAGAATAGATTCCTGATCCCAGCTGGAGCCTTTTATCCATTATGATAATAATAACTGCAGCAACCACAGCTGCATTTATACACATCTGGTAGAGAGTCCTTTAGGACTGCAGACAGGGAGGTTATTGTCCAAGAGGCATGACAGAGCTGTAATTTGCCTTCCTAGGGTGGACTTACTCCTTGTGCAGAGCAGTGGCTGCTGCCCACATCTCCCCCGAACGAAGGTGTAAGGCATGCAGGGGGTAATTAGAATCTCGCTAGCAACAGTGAAAGCAGTCGGAGAATGGAATTTTTTTTTTTTTTAAGTAAAAAATAAATAAATAAATAGTGTAATGGATGTTGAAGACTGGATCCCCCCATCTGCACAGGCAGGGTGCTGAGCTAGACAGGCTAGTGCTACCATCCACTCCGACTATGAGACCCATGCATCAACCTTTAACTCCTCACAATAGAGCAGAGACAGCACTCTGAGAACCACAATGGTTCAGCTGTTCGGTACGTCTCGCTCAAACTGCAGGACATACAAAATACAACCAAGCTCTGATAAAACCCATTTCATCAGTAAATCTCAAAACATCCTGCATGAGAAGTTAATATATTTACTCTGATTTCACAGGAGAAGAAACGAAAGCACAGGCACAAAATGGCTCTTCAATCCCAAACCTTTAACCCCTCCCTACACTGTTGTCTTATCAAAAAAGAGGACTTTTGTGCTGCCTCTCAGCACCTGCCCAGGTCTGCCTGCTTCTGCTGCCTCCCCCTCTGCCCACTTTTGCTGCCTCCCTCACCATCTCTCTTCAGCAGACACCGCCAACCTTCTTCAGGAGGCAAAAGTCGGTCACTGCGACCTCTGAACACGTGCGTAGCAACTCAGAATAGCTCTGCAAAGCAGAGGAACATCCCTGCTCAAGTTCAGACCTGAGACCAAGCCGAGCATGCTCTAGGTTGGAGGCAAGGTGGAGAAGAGCAAGAGGAAAACAGACAGATGGACCCCAAGCCCAGAGCCGCTTACCTCTATCGTGGGGTCATACTCATCAACGAAATGGTTCTGAATGAGCTGTATTGTCAAAGCACTCTTCCCGACACCACCAGCTCCCACCACCACCAGCTTATATTCGGTCATCTTCCAGCCAACCCCAGAGCAGGACTTCCAGGAGCACCACCACCTGCAAGGAGAAACACAGCCACCACATTAGGAGAGGGGGTCCCTCCCTGTCACTGCCTGCTCTGCAGCAAGGCTGAGCGGTCAGCCCCCCTCTTCTGCCGGGAAAGGCAGAAATCTGCAAAGCACAGCTTCATTCCTTGGGTACTGAGCATTGCCAATGTCTCCTGCACATCCCAGGAGCACCCAAATGCTGCTAGGTAGAGACACCAAAGTCTGGGATCCAGCATGCTGTAACACAGAGACACCTAATTCTGCAAGGCAGAGGTGAAGGGACGCACCCCTCAAGGTTTTAATGGTCTTTTAAGTTGCTTGATTTCAGCAGGGATTGAGGATGGGACAAGGTAAACCCACTTCACTGCTATTCTGGGTGGCAAAGAGCCACGCCTCACTCCTTGGGGTGAAAACCAGCAAGCCACCATCAGGGATGCAACATGTTTTTAACGTAGCTTTAGGAAACTGCCACCACAGGGTACTCTGTTCCAGGACCACCCTGGTCTCTCATCTCAAGCTCACAGATGTACCACCCTGGCAAGCCTGGCCTAGAAATGGGGAGATGGTGGGATGGCCTGTGTGCCCCAAGGGTCAAGGGCTTTCTTACCTTCTTCCCACCCAGCACACTGACTACCCTGGGAATCTGACCAGAGAAAATTATACTTATTTCAGTCTGTCACCCTGTACTGTGCCTCCAGGATCCACTGTCTTCCTTTTGCTTTTATGGTCTGATGCTCTGGGGTGTCAAACGTGAGAGAGCCTCACCTAAAACCATGAAACTTGGTCTAAAAGTACAGCACGGAACTGCAGCATCCAGAGCTATTTAACCTAATACTCTCCACTAGTAATGAAGGTTACTTTAAAATGGGCAAAATATTCCACAAAACTGAATACAAAACTATGTTTATCCAGCAATATGCTGCAATCCTTCAGCCTGATGGTCTGGATGCAAACTTCACACATTCCTCGAGCAAACCTCAAGAGATAAGGGAGTCTTACCGATAAGAAAACAGAGGTACAGGCTGTGTAAATCAAAAGTAAACCCTAAAGTAACCAAGTTAAGACGTCTGGTTTTCCAGAAGTGCTCAGCGCTGTCTCCAATTTGTCTTATCTCAAGCTGGCAATCCAAACTCATTAGATAGATTTGAAAGCCTTGGCCAACATGGTTTGGACGTCAACGCCCACAGGAGTGGGGAAGAAGTCCTAGCCCCCCCAAGTACGCTGTTAGGTCCATGTCTTCACCCTCAAGGCTGCGTTAAACCTCAAACCACAGGGCAGGTTTGAGATGGTGGCACATCCACACCCTCTGCCAGTCCTCCAGCTAACGATGCCTCCTGCTGTGCTGGCCATCACAAGAGGGAGGAGGACTGCGGAAAGGGCACCCCTGCTCCCACAAGATGAAGCTGGCATGCCCCACAGGGGAGCAAGAGATGCTACCATGACAGGTGCTGATTGGGAATGATGATTAGGGTCAGGACAAGCAAACCACACTTCTGCAGCACTGTGTAGTTGCCATGGCCCTTCAGCAGGAAAAAACTCACCCCCCCAACCTCCTCCTTTAAATTTCTGCTCCAACTCCACCAAGAAAGAGGAACTTCAACTCAGGAAGATTACAAAATCCTGAATGTTTAAATAGAAATCCACCCTCACTGGACTTCAATCCCTGCTCACTGAAAGTCACCCCAGGGTCAGATACTCATCTGCAGCCGTCATCTGTGAGCTCTGGGGAAGCCACTTGAAACGCAGCAGGTAGCGGGAAGACGAGCTCATGGTTCCCCTGCCCGGTCGCCATTCAATGCAGCCTGCAACACCATCTCATGGCGATTACACACACCCTCCCGGACAGTTATATCACTCCACCCTCCTCCCCAGGCTCGCCAGCCCTGCTCCCAAAACCCTGGAAGCTGGTACAAACTGTGCCGGCAAAGGCCACTCTAGTTCCAGTCTGCATCTGGTGCATTTGCTAACGCAGCAAAGATCTAATGGAAAGGAGGCCAGAACTTTCTGCCTTCAATCCCCACCTGACTGCAACCTTAAACCACTCAGACAGTTCAATCACCCACTCGAGCTGGGAGCAGTCAGACACAACCACCTCTTGCCAAAGCCCTTTTCTGAGCTACTGTCTCAGTAGCAGGAAGGCAAACAAAGCTCATGCCCTTCTCAGCATCCAGGATCCTGAAGAAGGGCAAGGGAGGGGGTGCAAAAGAGCAACCAGAGCACAAACACGATGCCAAGCAGGACCTCTGGTTGCTGTGCCGTTCTATGCTGCTGGAAAAGCTGAAGGTTGTTAAACACAGTGGAAAAGTGGTGATGGTGGGGAAAATGCGGTGCAAATAATGTGATACCCTAGGTCCATACCCAAAAGTGCCACTGCTTCCCAGGAAAGTCTGATATGCCTCTGTTCTGGCGGCCAAGGAAGAGATGCAGACTGAAAGCAAGGCTACTGGAGACAGTCTAAGTGAGCACACTAATTGACCATGCACACGCTGCTTTGCTCCACTAATGCACGCCTTCATGTCTATGAACTTGTCCCTAAGAAGTAGTGTATGTGAGAAGAGAGATCCCCACCCCAGGATCTCTCTCAGATGGGAAAAGACAATTACCATCAGGGACAGTGACAGGCTGAAGTGGGGACTGTTGTGTGGGCTGGACAAACACTGATTGACCGTCTCCACCAACACTGCTGGCCAGGAAGGGATTGCTCTTGCAGCAGAACAGCTTCACAGCGGAACATAGAGAGGTCTGGAGGGTCTGAAGAAACTCTTCAACCAGCTGCCATCTTTCGTACAGAGCAGGGAAATCTGCAACCCCTAGCAAAACACATGGCAGCTGCAAATAAAGGCCTGCAGTGGCTACGATGGACCTTGCTCTGCATCTGATGCTGATGATGGAGCAGCTGCCATGATGATGCTCAAGGGGAACTGCACAACTGCCCAGGTCTATGGGACTTGCTAAGGCAGTGAGAAAAGCCTAGACTCAATATGGGGAGAAGAAGAGGTGAGTCCTCGAGGAAGGGGTCCTCCCTCGAGACCACCCCAGTGGAAGGCACTGCTTGGCCTATCCCTTCAGAAAACCCCCAGCCCACACAGCCATACCAGCCTCCTTGTCCACACTGCAGCAGGAGATGGGGGCCAAGGCAGTCACCCACAGCAACTTAAGGGTCTTTCCCTGCTCCGGACCCCAGCTGAGCCCTGCTGCGCAGTGGAGGGGCAACCACACACCAGCAAGCCCTGCACATCAGCACCCCAGCCTAGAGCTTTGAGCTCTGGCTCCTCCAGAGAAACACAGATCCACATCTGCCTGCTCTGCACCCACCCAGGAGGCGGGGGAAACAAGGGGGGTGAAATTGTTCCCCATCACTCACGGTCAGCACACAGACAATGTAGATACAAGAACTCTGCAACGTTGGTGTTCGTTCACTCACACCGCATCTAGAAGGTGCTGGTGCCTCGGCTAACCCTTCACCGCTCTACATGCCATCCTCACCCTGGCAATGGCAGGAGAGATTCTGCAGCTTGCAGAGGATGGTGAGTCCAGCCCACACAACTATTTCATACCATTGCTGCAAAACGTGTCCTAATGTAGAGCGAGAGTGTGGGGAATGATGGACAGCTCTGGGCGTCAGAGCTGCCTGAATTAACGTGTGCTAAAATCAATGTTCAGACAAGCTCGCTTCCTTTCCCAAAGGATCCACAATGCAAGCTCTTCACACGGAGCATGCAGACCCAACCACGCATCAGAGCACATGCAAATGCCACAGGAGAGGGAGCCTGGCCAAAGGCTGCAGGGGAAGCAGGAATTTCCATAGGGCCAAGCTTTGTTACAGAGTTGGGCAGCTGGTCTTATCCCTAAGTTGACCTTACCAACACCATCTCATAGCTCCCCATCACACTCTTTGCTCCTGAACGTGGTAAGAGCAAGGCTGCTCACTGATGCACGCACAGGTTTCAGCGCAGTGGTGGCTGTTCCTCAACACCACATGAACATCACCACCACCGCATGGGCTGGTTCAGGTAACAGCCACCCCAAAGACAATGTTTCTGGCCCTCCTAAAAAACAGAGGCAGGGGAGAAAGAGTGGGGCTCCTGCCAGAGAGATGGTAACAGACACCCAAATTTTTCACGCTCAGTCTGGGGACACACCGGACAGAGGTTTACAGCCTGTTGGTTGTTGTGAAAGCTTCTCCTTATGCGAGGGTTTCCAGAGGATGGTAAACAAGAGTTTCTATTTCTCAGCAGCTAACACAGAGCCCAGACAGAGCTGACCACAAAACAACAGAGGGAAACACGAAAGCACAGTCTCCCAGTCCCACGCTGAGCAGAAACAGCGCTTCTTCCATTCTCTGCAAGCTCTTCAAGATCTGAAAGTCCGACCCAGGTCACCGTCTGGTCTTTTTCCTGCCTATCCAAATTTATCACCTCTGCAGTACTCAACTGTTGCACCCTGCAGAAGCCGCACAGGGCTGTCAAACAAATAGCTGAGCGAGACAGCGAGGATGACAGCCGTTCAGGAGCACCACCCGGGAAGAGGAGGGCTGGGATCCGCATGCCAAGCCAACAGCCCCAGTGTGGAGCCAGAGCTGCTGCTGCTGTATTTCCTGACCTCGTGGATTTTCTCCTGTAGCGAGAGGGCTCCTGGCTCCCATTCAAAGCTGTCTAGGAAAGCCTCGCCGAGTGCTTCCGCCTGGCAGCAGCAGCTGCTTCCAGCCCGGTAGCCAGAGCCATGCAGCTCCAGCAAACAAGAAACATCTGCCAGCCTTGTGCAGGACACTGGGAGAGCAAGCGCCCAGCCCTGGTGGGCACCAGCATCCTACCTTTGTCTTGCAGGGAGGGGATGCAGGTGTAGGTGAGGGCAGAAGGCACATCTTACCTTCTCCCCCGCCTGCGCATGCTGGGCAGCATAGAGGTTTTGCCTGCAGAAACGAGGACCAAGATGCTTGGTGCAAGCTTTCGCAGGGCTAAGAACAACCTGACGTTCTTCACAGTCCCTCTTCTCCAGCACAGAGCTTCA